TTTTTTTTTTTTTTTTTTTTTTTTTTTGGTACACGCGAATTGAACCGCACGCACGTTATCGTCTTTGTATTCACACCCGGTACATTCGGAATAATACAGGTCGCATTCGCGTATGATCCATATTGACGATCCATTTGTAGAATGAGAATTTGAACGTGGCTGGAATAAGGGAAGGGGGAGGGGGTCACACTTTTAAAATATTTTGACATGAAATATCGAAAATTTTCATGCCGTACGAAAATCGTATTTTCGAAAAACCTCGAATTATAATTGACCCTGAAAAATTTTTGGCATTGAGAAAAATCAAGTTTTCCCGTATATATCATGAAATACCGTAGTCTGTAATAAAAATTTAGAAATATACTAATTCATGTAATCGAGTATATCGATGCTCGTCGATATGCAAATTATTGCCATAATCGTGTATCTTTCGCATTTGGGATTTGAGTATTGAGACTTGAGGCTTTTTGTGCCGGATACTACAACCTCATTTTTCTTCCTGCAATATCCAGTAGTGCGATTACAATTTTTAGCGTCACTGATAAGATCTCGTTTGCTGTATACAGTGTGGGGGGGGGGAAGGTAAAAAGGGCAGATACGGAAGTAGAAATGGGTAACTGGTTCAGGGAGAAAGGGACAAAGAGACGCGTGAGGGATGAAACACAAAGGTCCTCGGGTCAGGGTCCAGAAGAAAATTTAATTTGGTCGTTAATAGCAAGTAGGAACATTGATCCTAAGGTCTCGTTTAACGTGAGAACTATTATTTTGCTTTGACCTTCTGACCTCCCACTTTTTACCACGATATATCTACACGCGCCCGATTAATGTACTACACCCTCGTCGAGACTAATCTGTCAAAGGATTCTCAGAGATTAAATATATATATATATATAAAGGACTATTAGCTTTCCTACGGAACACTCAGGAGTTGTTAGACATTATTCCACACCCAGATATTATCTAAGCTAACTTTATCATTGTCGTACATTTTACATTATTTATTCCCCAGGCAACGTGACGCTTGGTATAGTCCAACTCGGCTAGGGATGTTTTCGTTGCGCGCAATTCTTTTCGTCTCTTCCAATTTTCTGTCAGAAAGACTCAGCCGTCCTTAATGGTCGAATGGACGTCCGGTAAGAAAAAAAGCCCACGTGCGATATTATTCTATCAAGGCTGACACTAGGTCCGAAATAAATGTTACAAGGAACATTCATTTCGAAACGCTTTCGCCGTCGAATCGGGCTTACGACAAATTTTTTCGTTTTCATCGAGTATCGGCTGTATGAATAAATTTGTGTGAAAAAAAAAAATATACGAAGTCTCTTTACCTGTCACCATTCGTAACGTCGCGCAGAGCTGTTCCGAGTTACGCCGAAGGCACAGGGCAGCAGCTGTCCATTGTTTTCGTTGGTTCTGACATCCGATAATTCCGGCCTGCCGTGGATTAAGCTGGATTTTACAGGCGACCCTGAATACACGAACACGTGTCCACTGGAAAACACAGGGGAACGAAGTAGACGAGCCCGTAGGACGGGAAGCTGGTATTTAAAGGGCCGTTGCCGACCGTTAAAATCGAAAGGACTCATTGGATATGGAAATAAAACAGAAATCTATCAAAATCATCCTGTCGCGAGCC